CGAGTACCTATCTCTCTATATTTAAAATTTAGCCCAGTATATCGGACTCGTGTTTTATACGTGTATACATTATGTCCGTGTATACCGTGTGTAACTCGCGCACCATGCAGACGTAATGGCGCGTGTATCATATGCGGTTATAGTAAATTATATATTAGATTTTCAAATAACAAACTACGAATACATACGCATGAAGTCGTTATAAACTTTCACACAGTCTTGCATTGCTATATCCGTAAAAGTAATGTTAAGGTTTTGCTATAATGTGAAACAGTTAGAAAATGTTGTATGTAACTGGTGGTACATACGCTACGTCCGTTTGTGTGAATTTATTAAAACTTTGCTCAATTCTACTATATTCCGAGTAGAGTAAATATAAAAATATAACATAATATTAAAAGACACCTAAACCAATAGTAAAAATAATATTTTTATATTTATGTACACCTATATATTGTATAAAAACGTAGACGTGAGGCCGTATGGAGTATATATATAACTAAACACATAATCAATAAAAAAACAGGAAAAAAATCAAAAAAAATTAAAATCGAAGTTAATATCTTTTTAAAAAAAATTTTCCTAATACTTCTATACCGGGATAGATTATTTTTGATTACTACGAAATATAATTGAATGGAAATCATAATTCATATTTGATTGGTATGGCTGTTGTACAATTGTTATAGATGAATAATTTTGTCTTACTTTACGTACTAATATAATTGAACTTTTAGTAATTATACTCGTAATTATAAATCATGATCATGCCAGTTAATTAAATTATAGATTCTATAAAAAAATTAATCTCACTTCTTTTCGACGGAAAATATTATTCAATCAACTATTTTATAAACAATACTGACCGCCTATAACGGCAAAGATAAGTTACGATAACATTTTTTAATAAATTGATTCAGTTAATGTTTCCTATTATAAATTATAAGTCCAGTTTAGAATTTTAAGGAACAATTTTGTTAATAACAAAAATTAAAATGAGTTAGTGTAGATAATAAATTATATTTAATAAGAATAATTTTGAAAACGGGTAATACTACGGTAAACCTAGATTCAAAAACGGATGAATGATACTGTGTTGTATATTGATGTTTTAAATTTAAAACCAATGTATCATTGCTATCAAAAAATCGAGTTTGAATGAAACCGGGTGAATTAGTTTCTACTTCTAAAAATAGTTGATATGGTAACAGACATGAAAATTAAACTAATAGTTATGTGATCATATAAAATAGAATAAATTTAAAAAAAATTAACAGAAAAGTTTCATTAAAACCCTGCGTTTTAATTTTTTGAAAGTTTGTTAAAACTATAAGCATACAGGATTCAACCATAATATTTCATTAATTATATCTTCTTATCGATTTTTAATTCTTAATTGTTACAATAAAAGTTATAAAATTATATTAATATTGAAATACTTTTATGCTTGTACTAAACACTTGATTTTCTTATATTGTAATGTAAATATATAATTTCCAAAAATATTTATTTAGCATCTATAATAATTCATATCTTACTTACACATTTCTTATAGAAATTTTCGCTATATTACGTTAAAAATGATACTAAAATAATGATGATTAATGATAATGAAATGGTATTTAATATTTACGAGTACCTATATATGAGGTGAAACAATGCATCGTTATTCAATTAAATTGCCATTCAAGTGTTATGTATGTATAAAATAAGATATGTATATAGACATAGTACTTTCCAAAAAATTCGTTTGTAAGTAATATAACGGAAATAAAACGGAAAACAAATAAATGTCACAAATATGTGATCACTAACTGAAATAATATTTACACAAATGAAATGTACATGAGGTCATTTCATTGTTTCAATACGAGTTGAATTCGGTTCATCTAATATATCTATATGAATATTGGTTAACAATGGACATCTTATCCAATCATATAATTCTTTTAATATTTTCATAGTAATTATATATTTTTTCTGTTAACAATCTTTAATACATAAATTCAATTAAAATATTTTTATTTTAAAAATAATTAATACGGTTTATTTATATTATAATTATATTAATTTCTTATTTTAATTTTAATTTTTTATAATGTAGTCAAATAATTAATGTAGTCCGTTATAAAATACGTGTATATTTTATGTTAGATTAGATGACTTGCTATTGAAATAGTTTTCAAAATCGTTTTCTTTTCTCGGCATTATAAAGTATAATTATTTGAAATTAATTTAAATATTTCTTTAAACCAAAAATGTATATTTTAAATAATAAGTGTTAAGGAATAATAATATCTGTCTCCAATTGTCTTTTTTCTATTGTTAGTTTTTTTTTTTTTTAACATGACTGAAAATTTTGTTAGACAAATCGATAGTCAAATATAACTCATACTTAACATTTTTTTTCCCTTTTATACCTAACTACATTCCATAGAACCTTAGAAGTTCAAGTTTTTAGTTTACTATTGTTTCGAAAAAAGTCAATAGGTATATAAATAAGTTTAAACTAGGGACGTGCCAGAGTAAAATTAAACTTGAAACATTGAATAATTTAAACATCAATTTTAAATAATAAAGAAATTATTACTGGTTTAGTGATTTATTATTAATTTAAAATAATATTTAATCATTTTATTATTTTATAATTTATGAATTTTTTATAGCATACCTAATTTAGAATATTAGAATGAATTAAAAAAATATATATATATATTATACAAAAGATTCCTAATACTGATTAATCATCAAGAGTATCAACAAAAATAAGTCATAGTTAAATAATTAATAGTTTTTACGCCATATGGATAAGTAATAATAGCTATAATAACTAGTCTTTTATACAAAAGAAAATGCTTTAATAAAACAATTGTATTTTAATATATTTATTTCTATGTAAGACAGTAATCTTATAAATAAAACAAATATCTTATGTATAAAAATAAATAAATAAAACTAATTGTTAAGTTTTTATTATTTTATTAAATATAAACACACAGGTAAAAAAAAAATATTGAAGATAATATTTTAATTATAAATAATGAAAATCAATTAATTATTAGTAAAATATACTTATCAAATTATAGTAAAGACATTATATGTAGTTTGAACCCAAGATTGATCTTACAAATGAACCACCAATACTAAAAATCTAAGAGATCGTGGTCCAAATTAATTAAATAAATAGTTTTTTGTTTGGGGTCATTATATAGATTAAAAAAAACTAGATCATTTTATTTAGTCTTATTCTAAGGAACTTCAAGCTCAAGATTATAAAAACATAAGTTCTATATTTTTGATTGTATAGATGGAATTGTATTAAAAATCATTTAAAATCTTTAATATATTTATAAAATTTGTATCTTTTTTTTTTTTTTAAAAAAAAAGTTGGTAGTCAAAAATATATAAACTTATAACTACTTTACAACAATGTTTAATAATAAGCCATCATTTTGGATTATCGTTAGGTATTATAGGACATATAGAAATGAAAAAGCATTTACTTTAATACATTAGAGCAGGGGTCGGTCGGCAAGTAATTTACATTGGAGTCCTAGAGATTAAAATAATAAATAAATGAGGTCCAGTGAAAAAAATCTTTTTCAAATCTTTATATTTTAAAAATAGCAGTATAAAAATAATTGTTTGGTTATTACAATTAATTTATATTAAAAATTACAATATTAGGAGTATGAATATAAAAGTTTACAGGGTCCAGAGTATTGTCTTCCGCAGTCCGGATACGCCAGTTGCCGACCCCTGCATTAGAGTATATTAATTAATGTATATATTTATCTGCAGCGATACTTGTTATTTCAAATAACTGATTGCCTGTATTGATAGTAGCTGCTAAAGTTAATCGCTTGAATACATTTTTATAAAGCATACGAAACTACATATGAACTATATATATATATACAGGCCCGTATTTAAAAATTTGGCGCCCCCGGGCATATAATTTATGCCCCCCCCCACCAAATAATTAATAATAATATAACAATTCTTATTTCGTCCATAACCGAGATGACTCTTTGATATTAAAGTTTAACTTATAAATGAAAATCGTTTAATACTTTTTTTAATTAACAAATTAAACAAATTATAATATACTATTTTATTTTTTTTTCGTTAGGTACATAATTTTTAAAATTAATTTTGCTAAAATATTTTGCCACCCCTGAAACTTAATGCCCCCGATTATGTGCCTACCCGTGCCCCCCTGAATACGAGCCTGTATATATATATAGTGTGTACATTATATAATAAGTAATAATTTTGTGTCTTCTTTTATTTCTAGGTTTTATGGTCTACAAAGAAATTTTACTTCCTCCCAAATACATTTCTGCTAACATACTCATACATTACATATATATAATTTTTATTCTTCGAAGAATAATACGGCCTTTCTCCTCGATTGCATTTCCAAAGATCTATCTCAATTGTATATATATATATACCTATATTTGATATTGATGGCCTTAATGTCTGTAATCTGATCAACTGAATTCTCTATTCTATACGATATAAATAGTCACTCAACCAGTCTTAAAATTTCATGTAACCATTTTTATTAAATCATATAAATACTAGTTGGTTCAGCTAACGATTGAGCATAATTTCCTTTCCATTTTATGTTTTCCAAAATCTTTACCTCCCTTTCCGAATAACTAGTGATCATCTAAGCTCCATTCATATGTAATAAGGTCAGTTTACAACTGTGACAGCGAACTATATAAATATTGTAGGTGTGGTAAGTATTTTATTTAATAATTTTTGCGATAACCATACATCCATAGATCTACTTAATCCATATACCAGATACTTATTTCATCTGATCAGTCGTTTTTGGTACTCTAAAGTTTAAATTTGTAAGTACCACATTTATATAATATAGACACATCGCAAGTTCAATCAGTTGTATATATAAACATATTCTTCGTACGTTGCTGACATACATTTCGATATAGTTCCCTTATCTAAGTTAAAATTAAAAAAATTACCTTCATATTCTTGATGAAGGACGCAGGCAAACCGTACGTCTCAAATCGGTTTTCTTGTATCATATTTGTGCGGAGTATGTCACACTACAGTACTGGGAGCAGAAGAGTGCCGGTATAAGCGACGAAACCCCGAAGACGTCAGGTGGCTGCTGCAACTGCTGCGCCGTCGTTCAAATGCGTTTTCGGGACATTATCGGTCGCGGTAAAAGAAAAACGATAAGAAAAACGTCTACGCACGTAGTAGGTTACGTAGCTGTTATGTTTACTGCGCTCGCGGAAAATATAAAAACGTTACAGAAAACTTCACACCGCGCTATTGGAGCACACAATTAAAACGCAACAAACGCGCATCGTTTGAAATCTGTATTGCGGTAGAGGAGAAAAAAAAATCACTAGATCGTTCCCGGTTAATCTGATCACCACGGTAGGTTACACCGTGCTGACCATCAAAAACGATATCGGCTGTTTGCCCGTTACCGTGGTCGTTGTCGTGATCGCAACCGTCGTCGCCGCCGCCGCCGCTGCTGCTGCTGCTTGACGTTACCTCGCACCGCCGCCGATGTGATGGAGAGTTCAGTAGGAGCGCGCGCTGCCGCCACCGATGTGTGATGGGCCGTTCGCGGCGGAGCGATCCAAACTGACGCGGTCGGCGAGACTCAAGAGCGAAGGCGGTGCGGGTCGTGGATTCTGCACGTGTGCGCACGCGCGCTCGACCTGAGGTGGCTCCCGGGTCTCTAGAGGACGCGCAGCCGATTGGACGGCCGGGCGTGGCCACGGAATACCGGCATCGAAAACGGCCACGCCTGACAGCGCGCGCGCTCGCGGTCCAAAGGATCCGGTGGGTACTTTATTTTCAATTTTTTTTTTCCTCGTACTCCTTCGACCGGACGCAGACGAAAATGAAATATATATTATAACGTTGTATACTTCGGCAACAACCGTCGCCTTTTATTTTTATTTTTTTTTCCGCTGTCGCGTCGTCGCCGTTTTCCATTGTGTTTCCACATCCGACCGTGAACGAGCGTAGGTATAGGTATGCATATATGTATGCGCGTGTGAGCGCGTCTATTACCACACACGTACGTACTACTACGCGGATGACTGTACTTTTATTGAATTATTATTACCACGGTGTATACACGGGCGTGCGTGTGTGTTACGGTCTTTGACCAGAGGGGAAAAAGTCAAAACAATGTAGCGAAAACTCGCTACGCAATGAGTATTCATGTATAGAAATATAATAAATATAGTTCCATAAGAAAAGATAGGTAATACACGATTTGTACGTTTAAATGCGTACCAGTAGTGTGTACTTTATGTACAGCGTTATAAACAGTGCCCGACTCGGCCGAATCAAAGAAGGGGACTCTGTTTACCTTAAAGAAAAATACCGTCCCCAAGACTTGTTAAGCGTTATAATAATAACGTAATATTAGTAGGGGAACGCTAAAATTTCTGAAAAATTAGTTAGGGTACTCCGTCCCCCTGCGCCCTCCTCAAATCAAATACTGGTTGTAACGTTTACCGAAACGACTACGTAAAATAACTATGTGGTCGTGTATAGGTGTATAGGTGTATAGGTACCTGCAATGTTACATATTCGAGGGCGGCTTTTGAATTTTTTACCTAGGTGGAGTCTTAACGTTATGAATTACCCTTCATATCAAAGTCTATTATCTATAATATATCTACTCTTTTTTATGTCAGAAGCAAAATACAGCTGTTTTTCGAAAGATTATTGAAATAGGTAGTTGGGGGAAAAATAAATGATAGTTTATTGTAATCATTTATAAATTGACATATAACAGTGATTATGTAATAAAATAAAAGTTATAGGAGCAAATGTAGCAAATCGTACCAAAAATTATAAAATACGCAACATTAGATAACGGAAGTATTATAATTTTTAGAGATGAATTATCAATTAAAGAGTAAAGTTCATTATAAAATATTTAAAAATTTATAAAACGGATATTTAGTGAATACTAAATTAAAATAACAACACTATGGATGTAAATGTAATATGTGCGTCCAGGGGCGTGTCTAGAAATTTTTCTTGAAGGTGTTCAATATTTTTACTAACACGTATTTGAAATGCATTTATTTCACAAGATAATAATTTTGGTTAAAATTAACTATATAGCACTAGGTAGATCGATAGTGGATTATAAACCATAAATAATTTTGGAAAATGTTTATAATATTAAACTTAAATTGTATAAAAATATTAAATAATATTTTTTTTTTAATTCGTTAAAAAAAAACTCTTGGGATAAGGGGGATTGAATACCCAAATCCCCCTAGGCATGCCCTTGTGTGCTTATTTACTACGAGTAACAATATTTAATTTAAATGATAAAATTTATTGAGAAACTTAGAAAACTGATAATTATATTTTTAATTCATAAATAATGGTGATCAATGTTTAGCGGAGGGTGTAATAATATTATGACTAAGGTAAATATTTCTATTGCTGGAAAGTTTTAATAAAAATAATTATAATAATAATATAATTATACTTCAGGTTAAGCGTTTATTTATTTATTTCTATACATAAACTATTTGTTTATTTATTTATATATTAATTTTCGAGTACTGACCGTTTACTAATTTTTAATTTAACTTTTTTTATTATTTTATTATTTATAAATAATTGTTTGCGTGTGCCTATTTACGATTGAAAAAATTTTATGTATGCTGGTTATTTGAGCTACACATACAATAATTTAACAGTTATTAGAAATTTTTGCCAATAAATATTTCACCAAATACGTTTTATTTATTTAATTTAACTATTCAACAAAAACAATTAACCATTCGAAATATTAGTGATTGTACTATACATGTCACTATAAAACCAAAACCATTGATCGTCTAATTAAATAAACTAATTACATAATTTTTTTTTAATGCAATTTTCCATAAAGTAGTCATTCTTACATTATATTTTACTAAACTATAATATTGAATAAAATAACTATTTCCGGATAACGCTACGAATATATTTAGCATACATTAAAATTGGAAGCGTTTAAAAATCATTCGACACCAAGAACAGTGTTAAAATATATTTTTTTTTTTTTTTACAACACGACGCATGTAACTACCTATACATGTGATTGTTATACTGTAAGAATCGCATAAATATACGTATAGTGTAATACTCTTGTTTATAGCTGACCGTTAGTTTTGAAATTAAACGCTATACTGACATCACTCGGCAATCAGTCGCGTATTACACGGACGTGCGTTGTATATATATTTATATAAGCTCATATGAATATTATGTACGCGTGTAACACATTTGTACAATCGTAAATTCGTAGTACAGGTACAGCATAATATTATTATCGTTATCGTTATTATGCGTACACGTACTATTTATTATGCTGTAATATATAATACATATATTATACTTGCGCGCGAATGCTTGATTTTCACACCGCAGTTGTCGTCCCGTGCGCGTAATATACTATATTATTATATTCGCGCAACGCTGCACCGCAACGATCCCGCGATTTATCGTTTACTGTACATCGCACCCGCGCGTGTATAATATTCCAATTATATGCAAAACGGTGTTGAATTATAACACGTGTTTATACATCTATATAACGCGCCGAGCCCGACCGTAATCGCGTTTGAACGCAAGTTATATCTATAAACGATTCGTGTACATATACGCATATACGTTCGTAGACGGTTTGGTGCGAATATCGTACCATTATAACACGTATTATTTAGCCGGATTTGCAGTGCACAGTTACGTGTTCCCTTGCATTAAACGTGAAACGAATTTATTATTCAAATGCATATTTTTAGTTTCGAGCCGTTTCGATCGTCTAATAACAATAATACCTACATTTAATGACTGACCGTCGGTTTGACCGACGTCCAAAATGTGCGCCTATGTGCAGTACAGTGTCACGTAGAAGTGTTCATCTCTCTCATCTTCGATTATCATATTATGTACAATATCGAGCTACAGTGGAGCGTCGATTATCCGCACTAGTTGGAACCGAAGGGGGTGCGAATAATCGATTTGTGCGGATAATCAAACAACCATTGAAAATTGTAATATAAAATTAAAAACTAATTTACTAGATATAATACTAAATATAATATTCATACATAATATAAAAAATTACATATATATATATTTATATATTATATAATATTATAGTACACGATATAACATAACGAATGATAAAACTAAATTAAACTAAAAATAAATTTGTACTCAAAAATTTTGTAGTGCGGATAATTGATGGGCCGGATAATTGACGCTCCACTGTATTTCGATTTACACGTAACACTGGTTGCTCCAATACGGTGTGCACTATAGCCCTGCATGGGCTGAGTTGGCCCAGTACTGGTTTGAGATCAGCCCGACCCATTGGTACACACTGAGCCAGGCAGGGCCGCGTATTTCTTATAAGTTTATGTGTCTGAGTGGGCTTTGCCTAATAAATTAATTTTAGATAGACTCGGGTTTCAAAAACATGAATAATATTGGATTTTAATGGGTCGGGCGTTATATATCAGGATGCGGGCTAGGATGGACTTATATTCTGTAAATTATATTAATTTATGTGTTTGTGAACAACTAAAAATTAATAAAAAATGTACCTAATAAATGTAAACAGTATAATATAAATAGTTTTATTTACTTAATAATAAATGTTAAAACGTTGAATATTATATAAGTAATTGATGTATATAATTATAAAAGCCTTTACCGAGCTGGGTAAGGCTTTCACTGGGATGGACTGGGATAGAGATTTTATTAGAGTGGTCAGGGTCGGGTGGACTTCATTATACAATTTTAACTGTAAGAGGGCTCGGGTTTCATAAATTAGAACAGGGTGGAAGGCTCTAATGAGCCGAGTTGTCATATCAAAATATGGACCGGGTTAGACTTAAAAAAAATCGGCCCATGCAGAGCTCTGGAGTGCACCCATTTCCAGTTTAATAATCCGTCAGCTTATTTAAATTAAAAGCGAAATCTCAAAAAATAGCAATGCAAACGCTATAACAATTGTAACACTATAATATAGGTGCATTAATATTATAATATTTCGTATTACATTCGTGTCCTTGATAATTATCAATTTATTTTGTTATAATTGAGCTTTATTTCACGTAATTAAATATTTGTATACGCACTATCTACAATCCAATCGCAATTCAAGTTATATATTACAATGCGTGAACATTAGATATTCAAATCACTTTTTGCAAATTATACTTTTAAGTACATATATGGCTATATAATAATTTACAATAAACAAATAACAAGCAACGTAGGACTTAACATATATTTTCAGTACCAATACACACACACACACACACACACACACACACATATATATAACTTACATAGGTACATATTTAGGTTTATTTAAACACGTATACCGAAAAACAATATTGTAATGAACCAATATTCAAATGCACCTAACTATGATAAATATTTACCTTATGTTTGGTTTATTTTTTTATCGTAATCGAAAACATGTTTATACGCAAAATACAGTGGAAAATAGTAGGACTGATACACCCTGTATGTATATATCAAGCATAATATTGATTGTTTTACGTAAAATAATTTGGCGTAAAATTAATTCGTGTTCATATTTTTATTTTAACATGT